TTAACATAATCAAGTTCTTGATGTAACCTGATGAGTAATTTTTTTCCAACATGAGAAGAAAGACCAATTACCAAAAAACGATAAAAATAAATTTAGAACTTTTTGTATATAGCACTTAGTTTCCATAATTTAACAAAATAGTAAAAATTAGTATACATTTTTCACAAATTCATCGAATGCTACTGATAACATGATTTTAGTAACTATTAAGATGGTCTTATAACTATTTCTTAAATATTGTATTTGATTTCTCACCCTTTCTTTGTATGTTTTTCACCTCCCTTAAAAATAAATTTGAATTCTTAACCGAATTTCAAAAACCAAAAACAAGTTATAAAAAGTTTTTTTCTTTTTTTTTCCAAATTTAGATTTAGATTTTTTGGAAATATTTTTAAAAGTAGATAATAGAAAGAGAAAAACACGTAGGGAGGAGTGTAGTGTTTCTAGGCTTTATTTTTAAAAAGTAGAAAACAAAAAACATGGTCATATAGGACCTAAATAAACTTCTTACTACTAAATTTAATCCTTAAAAAATTATTTTGAAAAATAGTCTCTCGAGTAGGTTTCAATCATCAAAATCTTCAATTCTACAGAAACTTTAATAGAAATATCGATAAAATGTCTAGTCGGTGGATATTTATAGAAAAATTATAAAAATAAATTTACGTCCATACTAGTGATATTTTGTTGATATTTTTAGTATTTTGTCAATCTATTTGAAGTACTATGGAAATGTCAATTCACTCATATCGATGTTGTTAAAATGTCGGCATATCGATAGAAATTTAATACTCGGGGAAAGAAAAAGTAAAAAAACATGGGATTTTACTTTTTACTATTATATGATTACTTAAAAGTTAAAAGTGAGAGGGTGCTGGAAAGCACAAAATAAAAGCAATGGTGGGATTGGTGTGTAGCTAAGCTATTTGTAGAAAATAGTTGATAATTAGCTACAAAAAAAATGTGCATATGGAAGGTGCTTGGGCTTTATGCTCCATTATTTCAAAATAAAAGCAAAAGGGTTTTTCTTTCTTTCTCTATTTTTATTTTTCTTCCATCTAGTTGCTAATTAGTTGAACAAAAGTTTAAAAACTTTCAACCACGGCTAAATCCATTAAATCTTATGAAATTTTGGTACATCGATTTGGAGTGTGGTATGTAGGTTCTACTTCTAACTATCAATATTAAGAATAAGGTTGAAGATCATCATGATTCAAGGTTTAAGAATGTAGAAACTTTTTACCGTATTGGACCTTTATTAGAATAAGTTTGTAGTTAACTTTAGAACTCATATGATAAGAACCAGGAATACTATAGTTTGGGTAACGTGTCATGTCAGACACTCAAACATTTATTAGACACGTATCAGACGCCTATTAGCTCAATAGATGTATGTCACACCCTAGTTGTACAAAGTGAATATAAATCCGACACTTGCTAAGCACGTTTCCAACACTTGTTAAATCCTAAGTAGGTGACCACCGTAGTTTGAACTCATTCCCTCTAAGTCCTTTGCTATTTACATTACCACTTGAGACATATGTATTTTTAAAAATTGTATATCTTAATAAATGCATCTTTTCTCCATCCATATCATGAATTTTTAGAAAATAACATGTCACGGTCAATGTCCAAGCTTCTTATTGTTGATAGGCGTTGTGCAACAGTATCTGACTTTCAACAGGGCTAACACTTATTTGACAGGCTTAAAAGGGATTAATTGAATTGTCGATTGTCCTTAATAAGTTAAAAGACAATTTAACAAAGTATTTTTATAGATTATGCTGGAATTGAGGGGACAAATACAGTATATTGCCAGCTTGAGTATAACCCAGTGGTTAAGGTATATCTACCTGTTTTTTCATAGATTTAAATCTTGATGTAATATTTTCAAAAAAGAAAAATAAAATAATCATATGTGTAAGCTACACCATCATCCTCTAACTAGATCATATTATATTTTTATCCAAATCATCAAAATACTGATCTGTGAAATGTGCAGGAAATTAAAAAAAATCCCCTTTTATTGATAAGCTTTGAGAGAAGGCCAACAAAAGGTGTGCTGTTTATAATATGATATGACTTATGAGGCCTAGAAGAATGTACAAGCTTGCCTCAGAGAGAGATATACTTCTAGTTGCAAATATAGTATCTTCACAATTTCACCAAAAGCAGCATACAGAGAAAAACAAGAACTTTAAATAGAAGGCGAGACCTCGAGATTTACCTCTTCAGGAGTTCAAACGGCTGTGATCCTACCCTTCAGCTTCATAAACTTTTATTTTATTATGTACGAATTGGGAAAAAAAATGTTGAGGTGATAGAATCACAGGCGCTCCGACCGCGAACCAAATCCTACCGTTGCTACTCGTTATGTTATCATTACGTAGGTACCATATCTGGTTCCAAGGACGGTGATGCATTGTTATTCCCTGCATTCCCTCCATGTGGTTTCTCTTTAGCTCCATCAACTTCATCTTTGAAACCTTGCTTGAATCTATCATAATTTGTGGGCTCAGATGACTTAAATGGGCGCTCCCCTAATACACGAACCAAGTCGTCTTGATGTAAGACCTCCTTTTCAAGCAATAGCTCAGCGATCTTAGCTACCTGCTCTTTATGCTCCTCTATCAACTGAACTGTGTGTTCATATGCCTTGGCCACCCATTCTCTAACTTCACCGTCTATAATTGCACCCGTCTTGCTGCTGTAGGGCTTGGACATCTCGAACATCTCGTCCCTTTGGGGGAAAGAAAGAAGACCTACCTTGTCACTGAAACCATAAACAGCAACTTGGGCATAAGTCATCTTGGTCACTTTCTCCAGATCATTCTGAGCTCCAGTTGATATTTTTCCCAAAAGAACCTACAAGCAGAGAGAGTTAGTTCAATCACTCGAAAGTCAGAAAAGATGATCAGTTGACAGAAAGGATGTGGTTGTGTTGGTACTGCTGAGCAAAACCCACATTTGTGTAAACAGATGACAAATAACAAACTTTGTGCATGAAATACTAAACAAAAGGTTTAAACTTTAAGGTCTAAGCACAGGGCTAAAAAACATGAGCAAAGACGAACTTTACGAGAAACATAGAATTAGAAACCTTCCTAATTAGGTACAGTGCACGTTAACACATTTCAATGCATGGCTTGATCATGTTTTCCTACTATAAGACAAGTTCTTTAGAATATCCAGAAAGTATTCAGGACAAACGTGTGGATGCTTACCTGCTCAGCAGCTCGACCACCAAGGGTCATGCATGTCACGTCAAAGAGTTGTTCCTTTGTCATAAGAAGGTTCTCATTGGGAACATATTGAGCAAACCCAAGAGCAGCAGTACCGCGAGGGACTATAGTTACTTTAAGAAGTGGTTCTGCATGTTCCAAGAACCAGCCAGCAACAGCATGACCTGATTCATGGTATGCAACAGTCCTCCGTTCCAGCTTGCTTATCACCTAGGTTACGAGGAATAGATTGAGGTTAGCACATTTCAAAACTTCAATAAAGTGGCATCCTCTTTTCTTCTTCCTCAGAAGAACTCCAGTTGTTAATCTCATATGTTGTGAAGAATAGTCCTACGTTAATGAGTTGTTAATCTTCTACTACAAGCACTCAAGTTGCACATTGATTGGAATTGCGTAAAAAATCTAAGGTTTTATGATTCCCAGTTTTAATATGCCTATATGACAGGCTTTCTTGAACTTCTTAAAGCAATCATAAATTTTGTATCGTCTCTCCAAGGATGATTAGAGCAAAACTAAATATTAGTCAATTATGGAGGCAACATGGATTATCGAATGAAAAGATAATATGAAAGAGCAGGAAAAAAATTTGGATCAATCATAAGAGAGTGACACTTAGATTGGATCAATGTTTTCTTCAGAAGAAAACATTTTGTCCGTTCAAGTAGTGGGCAATAAAATACCTTGTTCTTTTTCTCCAGGCCACCTATGACTCTGTCTATAGCTCCCTCAAAATGTTTCATAGTGATCACTCTACTTTCATTCCTGGCAGCAATTAAGGCAGCTTCATTGCAAACATTCGCAATATCTGCTCCAGCAAATCCAGGAGTCAGAGCAGCAAGTCTCTGCGAATAATACAATGGCTCATGATCAAGCTTTAACTTCTTTAGATAAATTTGAAAAATTTGATCACGTCCTTTGATATCAGGTTTATCAATTGTTATCTGCCGATCAAACCGACCAGGCCTTAACAGAGCTTTATCCAAAATATCAGGCCTGTTGGTGCCAGCAAGTACAACTACCCCAGAAGTAGTTCCAAACCCATCCATTTCTACCAGCAACTGATTAAGAGTACTTTCACGCTCATCATTCCCTCCACTAAAGCCGCCTCGTCCCCTTGCTCGTCCAATTGCATCTATTTCATCAATAAATACAATACTGGGTGCACATTGTCTAGCCTCTTGAAATAGGTTTCTGACCCTTGATGGCCCAACCCCAACAAACATTTCCATGAAATCTGATCCAGAGATGGACAAGAAAGGCACATCAGATTCACCTGCTGTTGCTTTTGCTAGGAGTGTTTTCCCAGTACCAGGAGGACCAACAAGTAGAGCACCTTTGGGAATTTTTGCTCCCAACTCCTCATATTTCTTTGGATTCTTAAGGAAGTGCACAAACTCCATTATTTCTTGCTTTGCCTCGTCGCAACCAGCTACATCTTTAAAATAAACCTGAAACAACAAGAGGAATGTACAAAATATTCAGCCAACTAAATCCCTCAAATCTTTCACCATGTAAAGCGAGGAATGAAAGTACCATCATAGATTTGTTGTATGATGCAAGAAAATAATAAATAAAATCATGCATCTGACCTTATTTTTGGCATTCTTATCCATTTTAGTTATATGTGCCTTTCCTATGTTGAATATCCCACGCCCACCTCTTCCACCTGGGCCACCAACACCTAGCCCACCCTGCATCCTTTTCCCCATGAAATAGAGGGTTCCCAAGAGCAAAGCTGTTGGCGCAAACCTCATCAATTCCTGGTACCAATTGACTTGGGAAACATAAACAACTGGGACAAAATCATGAGGATCAATCCCCAAAGCATTTTGCACTTCCTCCAGCTTCTCCTCGAACAATTCAACACTTCCAACGTTGAAATAGTACCTGTATTGGCTTATGTTACCTGTAGCTGGTTTTTCGTGATCGGGACCCTGAGGAACATCATCTTGTGTTTGCCTTGTCTTACGTGGAAAGCTCCTTACATACACTTTTGCAACAGATCTGTTTGCAACTTCAATGTGATCCACTAAACCAGGTTCAAGAAGCTTATTTCTGAACTCTTGAAAACTAATCTGTGGAATATATCGATCAACTTAGAAGAGATTCATAAGGGGGGAAGGAGAAGAACTAAGCCAAACCAAACATGGCAGGACCATGACTTAATTAAGACTTTTGTTAAAATACAAAGAATCAAAGTTCAAAAACACCAGGAAGTAAATCTCAACAGCGGAGTCAGTTTTAGTTCCGCAGAGACTTCGATCTATATTATTATTAATATTATATATATAAGGGACTAAAAGGAGAAACTCTGATCTCATGCCCCTAACTTTATGTAAAGTTTAGTACAGCCTGTTTATCTTGATTTGATCACCACTTTAATATTTGTAACTGGGAAAATGGTGTAATAAATAAAATTACATACAAAACATTTGAGCATGCACACCAATGGGTTGTAAATTACATGCAAAACATTTATTCATTCGGACTATTGTTTTTGAATCCTAAGGATAAAATATAATACATTATTAAATTATGATATAAACGTCATATTCCAAGACATTAATCTTTGGTATTTAGAACAAAAATGATAAAAAACTTTAGAGTGTGCATATTTAATACTGCAAAACATTTAGAGTTTATTTCATATCATATATGGGTAATCCTTATGGCTTGAACTCGTAACCTCAAAGACATTTGGGTTTACAATTTTTCATTTTGACCACTAGACCAACCTATAATGGTACAAATACCAAAAGTATGGTGATCCATGTTTATTTTAGTGTTATCTAAAAAAAAGGAAACCAATAATTCTATTTTAGGGCTGAAATAAACCAATAATACAAATACCAAATTAGGATATCGTTTCGAAATAAAGATTGAATGATAGATCAATGGAATGACAATGTCTATTTTAGTATTCTCTAGAAAAAAGGAATAAAACTGCAGCAAGGCAAGTCTTAAACCAATAATTCAGACCCAAATGAATTTGCATGTGCCTTAGTTATAGATACAGGGCTCAAAGAGTTACCTGCTTCTGTTCATGAGGAGCCATAAAAAATGATGAAAAAATGAAGCCAACAAATAACAAAGGGGTGATCAAATTCTGAAACTGCTTAGTAAAGTTCTCTTGGGAATCTGTATGACCAGTATTAGAGTCTTCTGGAAAAGGAAGCATAAAGAAAATATAAGTCTCAGTAAGAACAACTAAAACTACTTAGCAATGAAATAATAAAAACGAAGGGTTCACAGGCCTAATCAGGGGTTAGAAGTGAAACGATAATCCTGATTCTTATATATCAGTTTTCCTATTAGATTTTATATTGAGAAGAATAAGTACATGATCCTAAAATCACCATATTGAAAATGGACATTATCGGGAAAAAAAAACAATATACTCATACCCTCTCCCTAAAACACAGCCATGCCATGTGCACATGCGTGAACCAGAATGACAATATTGAACCAAGAACAACATGATCAGGTGATTTCTTTTCAAGCCCGTGACTTTTTTATTCTCCGCCCTTCTCTAAAACAAACAGAAACACAGAAGATTCCTCAGTTCCATCAACGATGCCATCAATAGTCCTTCCAAGTTCCACCCATTAATTTTACTTCTCTATAACATTTTTTAGTTCATAGATAATAAATTACACCAGTGAGGAAGGAAACTAACATGAACTTGAAAATGGAGATAAAGAAGAGACGCTAGGCCAAATGAAAACGCCCTGTACCTTTGGATTCTGTCTTCTGCTCTTTTGCCTTCGGAATCTCCTTCCTATCCTTTGGGTAGTAATTCTCATAGTCTAAATTAATTCATCATACATGAATAAAGACATTCAAAGGAAAAAACCAATTCGTGGGTGAAGAACAGTTGAACTATACAACGTAGACGAACAAAAATGTGAAATTCTCACACTTCACTTACTTCTCTTCTTAGGCGATTCGCTTGAGAACAGGCGTCGAATCCTAGGGTTTGCTAGAACAGAGTTGACATCCACCAAGCACTTTCTAGAAACAAGCTGCTTACCAGCTCCAGCCCCAGCTGATGTTAAATAAGCCTTCGCAAGCCCTAAGCAACCATGGACGCGCGAATCACATGTACTACTAAAAGGCTTCACCTCCAAGCACGATTCCCCTACCGACAAAATCCTCCCATTGCAAAAGCCAGAATACGCATTCTGCACAACAGAGGTTTTCTTTCTCTTAATCAAAAACATAAAAGGCTAACATGAATTAATAAAAACCAATATCGAGTTTAGATGTTACAGCTTGCAGTTTGCAACGCGCAGAGCGAGAAAGAGAGCCTCCGATCCTCGAAAAGATCATCGTTTTGGCAACCGTAACATGAACTTCTAGTACTTTCGCTACTCTATGAACACCCACCGAGCAGAAATTTGTCGTCTCATCCAAGAAATGGAAAACGGAAAAAATGAAAAGATCAAGAAACAAAACGGTGGAGGTTAAAGAAGTTTCGATGTCGCAATTTGCAGTGTTAAAATTGATCGTGAGAAGAAGAGGACTAAGAAGTTGTAAGCTGCATCAGCCGGAATCCGACTTCCCCTAAAATCGGGTTACCGCCTTGTTCCTCATGCGTTTTACCTTTCCACCCTTGGCTTCAAGAAACTAAAATCATTTTCACGAGGATAATTTCGTCTTTTGATTTATATTCGTTAGACGCGGCGTGTGTTGAGAAGATAGGCCACAACTGCCTGATGAACACCATAAGACTACTGGGCCCAATATTTAAGCCCAATTCGCTTTCGGTCATCGGCCCATAAATTCATTATTACAAGAAAAATGGTGTATGTACTATGTATGACAATTGACAATTTCTAAACGTCCATATTATTATATACTATATATAGCTTAATACACACGATACGACTGCGTTTAACTGGGCGTTTAACTGGGCTTTAGTAGCCCATTGAATACAAATTTAATATTTATATAAATATATATATGTTATATATGTCTTATCGTATTTCCCAAAAATCTCAATAGCAGGAAGCCACGTAGGGAGGACACGTGGACGGTGATGGTGGGGAGGTTGGAGGCGAACGGTAGGATGAACATGAGGAGGAATTTGATAAAGTGGTGTGATTGGTGGAGGGATTTCGGATCATCCAGGGGACCATATCCTCGAGCAAGCCTTGTGGGGCCGGGTCGGGCGGGTATGGAGGAAGAGAAGTTGGGCCTTGATGGGCTTCGTGAGGTTGGGCTTGGAGCTCTGAGTCGATCGTCTTGGGCTTCTTGGTTGGAGATTGGGCCTGGTGGGTTTGGCCCATTAGGAGGAATGGGTAAGCAAAGTGGAGGTGGAGGCCTTCGTAGGTGATGATGAAGGTGTCTGGATCTTCAATGGACCTCTCCACTTGCTTCTTTGCACTGCATCTTGGGTTTGAGCACCTATAATAGCTCCTATTTTTATCCAAAAGCAAAAAAGAGAGATAATCAATTAATTTTCTAATGAATTAAGAAAATAATTTTGGATATGGATTCTCCTTTTTAGATAAGGTTACAAATTTGCGGTCGAAAATTCAAACCTCCAATGTCTTAGTCGTTGAGTTTTTTTTAGTACAACAATCGAAATTGAAAGTGAAAATTTGAATTTATAATTTTTTGGTCGATATATTCAAGTTGGCAAATATGGAATTACTTTCCTTGCAAGATTACCAGAAAAAGAGGCTTGATCAATATTTAAGTAATGGATAAAGAGGGTAAGTTTGGGGTTAATTAATCAAAGCAAAACCATGGTGGACAAGGGAGTGGGTTTGGGAAACTAATGACAAGGATTTAGTTGCATAGTTGATTCAAGTGGGTGTACCTTAATTTTAGAACCAAAAAAAAAATATTTATTATTAGGACCCAATTAAATTTGTTTATTGATTTTTATTTGTGACATGTTTCTCAACCTCTTGTCCACTCCCATTTGACTATAAAGCAGTTAAAAAACTTATTTCCACTGATTCTTTGTGAAGAATAAGAGCTCTTTGGATGGTCAAAACCCCATTTGAATAAATACAAATTATATTCAAAAGAATTATAAAGTAATTATCTTATTTGCTAGTTAATTGAGACAAATTATGGTATCATAGCTTAATATTTAAAAGATGATTTTAAAATTTTAAGAAAATAAAAAATTTACCTGGGATTGGGACTATTTTTTATAGACTTCTGACCATATTTCCGCCATTTATAGCCATCATCAGCCACCATATTCCCACAGCTCTTGATCCTGAGGCTGTACTTATGCTCAACCTTATTCAACCCTCCCCTCTCCATAATCGAAAACCTGCCATTTTATACCATTGGATACATAAAATAGACATTAAAAAATTTATATCAAGGACAGTCGCATTGAATAATTTTTCAACCATATACCCTGTCTGAGAAATCTCGCTGCGGGACAACGGTTCTCTTCTAGGGGTGATAGAAAGCGCATTCTCAATATCTTCGATGGTAGGCCCCGAGTAGGCAGCGGCGGAGATGGCGAGCTTGTTGGCGGAGGCGTGTTCGGGGAGGAGGAAGAGGGGGGAGTGGTCGTCGAGAAGCTCGGCGACGAGGTCGTCTTGTGAGGGGTTGTAATCTGACCAAGGAGTGGCCATTAGAGGCTCCATGAAGATAAACAGAAAGATTGGATTTTTGGAGAAGAAGAAGAGGATAAAGTGGAGTAGATGGGAATGGAGAATATGGGGAGAGGCTTTTACGTGCGTCGTTGGCATCTTGACTTTTTATAGTAACATCACTAGGATGTTGGTTTTTTTTATTAAAAAAAAAAAGAAAAAGAAAAAGAAAGAAATCCTACATTGACTTTTGAAATTTTGCAAATTTGTCTTCTCTTGTAGGGTAAATTTTATTTGGTTAATGTGTATTTTACATCTTGTTTCTCTACTTTATGTGACTTTTGAACAAAGTATTTTTTTAGACACTCCTTCTATGAGCATCTTTTGAAAAATATTAAATTTTTTAAATTAATTGTGACTAGATAATCAAACGTTATGAAATTTTAGACACTTTTAACCATTCTTAAAATCACCTGCAATAAGTTTTAAGAAATTAGTGATCATATTTTATATTATCACATCAATTTTTTGTTGTATTGAATATTATTAATTGCCGACGTGAGTATGACTTAATAGTAAAGACATCTAGTCATTCTCTTCATATTAGGAGTTCAAATCCTCGTATTTATTGTACTAAAAAAATACTATTAACTAATAATAAAATCGTAGGATTAAAAATATAATTTGATTTTAAAAGAAACATTACAAAATGGAAAACTAGCTACTCTAGACACAATGTTAATTACTCTTTAAAAACTCCAATAGGAACAAATTTATCATTAGAATGTTCTGGCATAAATTAACAAAATAAAAAATGGATCAAGTTAATTTTTATTAAGAATGCTATATTCAAGATTTACGGTATATGTCTGGATTATCTATATCACAATGACCATTAAAATATATATATATATATATAAAAGACCCGACATAAATTTGAAATGACAAATCTAACCCTACATTAAAAAAAATAGAAGTTTGGTACGAAAACTATTTCAAAATAATAGTTTAGATCCCAAGGGTAGCAATAGTCACAGTTGACCTTCTCCACTTTTACTTGTTTTTATGGCCATGATATAAATATTATTTTTTTTCTTTGATTATAATAAAACTAATGAATGCATTTAATGAGAGGGGGTGTGAAGAATCCATATTCCACCATAGAAAGGGGGTGTCGCACATTATTGTTAATTATTTAATTYTTTTATATTATTATTATTATTATTTTAGTTTGTTTGTATTGTCTCTGAAATTTCATTTAGTGTTGGCATTGTCTGGTTATTTTGTTTTGATGTGATGGATGAATTAAAGTGGACCAAACCCTACCTGACCCATATGAACCCCTCCCCCAACTTCAACTAAAGCAAGAGTCAACCACTAAAATAAATTAATAATCAGAAAGTATAATTTAATGATTAAATTTTATTTTCATGTTTAATATTTTAATTTGTTTGATAATAATTTTGCTCAATCTTCTATGTTTAAATATTAAGTTAGTTTACTAACCATTTCGTTGTTTAGTTTTCGGTTTCTAAAATTACTTTTGAAACCTTCATGAATAGTTTTATTAATAAATTAGAAAAATTGGTAGGAAGTAAAACAAGTATTATTTTAAAACAYAATAAAAAAAAAGTGCAATCAAATGAGTTATTTTCACCCTTGTTACATTTTCGTTTTTTTTTTTCTAAAAAAGATATTAGTGAAGAGAAAGTATTCAAATTTATGACTAAAAAAGTTAACTCATTCTTATACCTTTAAAACATTATGTTTTTGTTATTKAAAACTTTCTTGAACATTATTTAAAATAATTTTTATTATAAAAATAAAAATATGTCAAATCGAACATAACTCAACTCTAACCTATTTTAAACCAAAAGGGTGTGAGTTTGAATCTCCGTTCAGAGCTATGTTGTACTAAAAAATAATAATATATAAATTTAATAAATTTAAAATTTTGAAGATATAAAAATAATATTTTTAATTTCCTTTTTATGTTCTCAATTATGGAGAGATCACAGCTTTCAAATATGTGGCACCTAGTATTTAAAAGAATTTTCCTATAAAAGAGAAAAATCAAATCAACACTATTGTAAATAGCATAAAAATACCTAACCACAAGAAGATTGAAAAAGAATCACATAAATGGCATCAACTGCCATTTAAAACATGCCCTATATAGCCAGGCCTACAAGTTGTGTCATATACTAGTCTTTGTTTCTATACTTCTGTAATATTTTTTAGAATTGGTAATTGTTTAATTCAAGTTATGTGAGAACTAATTTTGTGTTCATTAATGATGCTGCAAAAATTCAAATTTCTTACCTTCATTTTTAGTTTTATAAAAATTAATCTAAAAGAAATAATTTTTTTTCTCTTATAATCAAATTCTGAACATTGGTTTTAAGTTGATGTTTTTTCTTAATTAGGAACATGGTGAGAATAATGAAAGTCCATGACTTAATTATTTCATCAACATTTTTCTAGGTTTACATTTCGAGCCTACAACCCTTTGGAATAAGAATTAAAAATGGGTCATTATTTTATAATGTTAAACAAATTATAACAAATTATATAGGGATATTTAAACATGAAAAATGTAGTCGAAATCCATATGAGGGCATTCCCTTCTTAATTTAAACAATTATATGAAATCTTGAATTGCGTGACATGAGATTTGGATATTCTCAATTTTTTATTTGAAAAAAAAATCGGAAAAAGGAAATTAAAACATATTTAGTATTTGTTAGGGTAGGAATAGGTACACACGAGACTATAGTCTTAACAAATTGTCCTATATTTAGACAGATATGTCAACATTTTTCTACACTATAAAAAATTTCATTTTAACTACTATTAGTTTAAATCTTATATTTAAACTTCATTGCTATAAATAATCATTTTGACTAGAAATTAACTTAAATATTGTTTATTTATATTATGGAATGAAAATGTTAAAATTTAGATACAACAGGATAAACTAGTGTAAGTAAACATAGTTAAGTAACACTAATATTATACTCACGAGTCACAAGTTTGAAAAATTTCCCGAAAAGTGTAACAAATAGTAAAATATAGTATGAAAAATATAATATAACAAAAAAGGAAAAAAGAAAAATTGTGGGCTGTTTTATTAGTGATTGTTGAATAATGCAACCCCACCATGGGGTGTGTCTGATTTAATGTGTGAGTGGTTTACTTCAAAGTGAGGGAAGGTTTGTCTGTTTGTGGCTTTGACTTTTGAAATACCAAAACAAAACCCACCCGACCCTACGGACCGGACGGCCGGGTTGACCGAGTGTCAGGCTCCGAGCCTTCGCAACGGCGTCGTCTACTACTAAGTGGGCGCCGTTGCCGGACCGAACCAACCAAAAGAACAAAAACACAAAAGTCAACGCTTTTCTGTGCGACACGTGTAGATGGGCCCCACCTCTTTCTCTCACTCAAGGATCTCGTGGGGAAGGATGGAGCGGCTCCGACGTGTCCCCGTCCTGATTTGGATCCGACACCTGACGCTGACCCGTGTCGGAATTTTTTTAATACTTGTTCGTAATATATTAATTAAAACACTGATTTAATCTTTAATCTTTAAAATTTAATATATAATCATTTAAGCTTGTAATTTAAAGTGTTTAACGTATCAATCTCTATTGTAAAAAGGATGGGCAATATTAACTGAGTGACTAGATGTATTTATATATTATAATATTAAAAGAATTGTATAATAATACTTGATGCGTAATTTTAGACGAATTTTTAATTACAGGGATTAAGTCGTTATAAATTTTAAACTACAGGGATTAAGTTGCATATATTAATTTAATCTTATAGTTTAAAGTTTATAACAATTTAATGTTTATTGTGAAAAATATTATTAAAATTTGATAGAGTTTATTATAGGTATAAATTGATCAATTGATGAGGTTAGGTGTCAAATATATATACATATTACATAACTAAAATATTGTATAATAAGAATCGACGCTTAATTTTAATGGATTTTCTCAGTATAAGGACTAAATTGTTATAAATTTTAAATTAAAGACTAAATTGTTACGTATTAACGTAATTGAATTAAATTCTTAAGAGATTAAAAGATTACTTTAATAAAAATAAGGTTGTTTTAACGAAAGTATAAGAACAAAAAATGTTTTGTCAATATAGCTCAGTGATAATTGACAATATACCTACAACCGTGAGGTTGTGAGTTGCATGTTTTGCTCCTGAAACAGAACAAAAAAATGTTTTGAAACTAATTTCTATCTTTTGGGTTCCAAACATGCGAGATCCCCGAGCCTCCGCACTAACTATTCTCCATCACTTGCCTGCCATTCTTGGGCTTCTCCAATTTTGGGCCGATAAGCCCACGGTATATTACTACCAAGGCCCATCGTCTTTCGGCGGTGCGATATGTCGGTTCTAGCCCACATATGCCATGGGTGGCTTGGCGCTCGGAATTTGGAAGGTTAATCATTTTTTCCCGCGCGATTATCGAAAAGCCGCCCCCAGCCCCAGCCCCACGATGATATGCCCAATTGTTTTTGGAGGATACGTGGCAAAACGTGTAGATTTTATTATTGTTTTCTTAAGATAATGTGTTTTTTTTTTTTTTTTTGGTTATGTGGAAAGAAACTAATGAAATTTCTTTAATAATATTTAAAATTTTCCTGCCTTTAAGAAGTTGATTGACCTTAAAGGCCTTTACTATATTTTAAGGTTGGTTTCTTTTTTGTAATAACTATCTTAAAATTAAAATATGTAATTTTATATTTATTCAAATATCTTCTTTTTTGCCCCCTGTTTTTAATTAGGAAGAAAGTTGTGATGGATAATCATCACAAAGCAATGATTCAAACTTTTAGTTAAATTATACAAATTTGTTTGATTTATTGTTTAGTTTAATTCTAAAACTTACGAATCAATACAAACATATCTTAATTAGTTAAAATATACATCATTGATAAAAAAGTAAAATGTTTGAATCTCCATCGTAGTTACCGATAATCAATTAAATTGCAACACATTAAATAGTTTTTGAATCATAGAGTTAAGCATCCTTCTTAAACAAAAAATATACGTCTTCCACTATTTATAAAAAATGGTTTTATTCGCACATAATGTAGAGACTTTTTAGTTAGAATGTAAACCTTTAAACATTGGATTACACAAATTCAAGCTTTATCAAACTTCTTGGTTTTGTAAGAAAGTAGTTAAACTACCTAAAATACTATTGAATTATATGTTTGATTTCAACTGCGCTCGTATTGTTTTAAAAGTGTCATTTTAACTCCAAATATTTAAGTTGTCTAAAAAAACCATTCATCCATCAATGGTAATTTTGACGATTCACATAGTGAATTGTTGCTATCATTCAATATTTTTCAAGCCATAACCCTAATCACGAGGGGAGGCTCTAATTTTTACTTTTTATTTTTTATTTTTTATATTAAATCTTAAACATCTAAGTTACAACAATCGAACCGCCCATTCAAAATTTTATTTTAATCTCAAGGAAGGAAGCTAAGGGAAAATAGAATTATCTTTTTTTAACATAATTAAACCAAACTAAAAAACTTTATATAATTTAGTGTGAGAAAATAATTGCGAGACCAACTTGGAAAATTTGGGCGTATGCGAGGCACAAACAATTGCCACCAGCGATTTCCCACCAAATCTTCAAATTTCTTCAAATTCAAACTACTTTACGTAAAGCCTCCAAATTCCTTCCCGTCTGCAAGCTTTTGCGGCTTCCCATTTCCTCGAACGAGAGAGAAGAGCGGGTTATAGCTTTGGAATTTCGCCGCCGGAAATGGAGAAGACCGATGCGAAGAGCAACGACGACGAGTGCCTGACTCCCAGGGGCCGGGCTTGTAGGATCCCGGTGGCGTCCAAATGTCCCCCGCCGCCTAAGAAGAAACCGTTCGCCGGACGGAAGCAGACCCCTCCGACGAGCGGCTATTTCCACCCTCCCGATCTCGATGCTCTGTTTTCCATGCCACCGCCTTTATCAGGATGTGAGGCTTGCGCTTAGTTCGATTCATCATATATGTTTATACTCGAGAAATTTCATCTGCTTGATCGATTCGTTCTTTAATTGCATCATGATCCTCTGTTGGCGAAACCTGGCGGTTTCTTCTCCTTAGGGCATAATTTGATTTCTTTATTACAGATAGAACTTCAACATCTGTGTTGTGATTGTGAATGAGAATTGGTTTCGAATTTATGTTGGATGAAATGATCGGATTGAAATCAAATGAATTGCAGAAATTAAACCTGTTCCTTACAATCTCATTCATATGATCTTCACATTTAGTCATTTACAGTCATCACCTTGAATTGAACTGTCACACAGTTTCTGAAATTCTTTGGTCTCAAAGAACACACACACTTTATAATTCCTCTAAAGTGGAATATACAGAGATTTTAAGTGGACACATCCCAGGAATCAAAGCAAAAGTACAGAAAAGTACTGCTCAAATTCTTGATCAATGGTGGGTTTGAGAGTCTTGGATTCTGCCTCTGCATATTTGAATGATCCAGCTTTACTTTTGTGTATGGAAAAAAGCATAAATTCATCTACTTTGAAATTTTGTTGATTTGGAGAAAGTTTAGAGGAATCAAAACTTCTAAATTACCAAAGAAGAAAAATCCCTCTATCCTCCTAAATGTCAATATTCGGTTATTTTGGTCTCTGGTTTAAAACTTATCTTCATCATTGAATTGTGACATTTTATCTTTATGATTTTCAAAGATGAAATGAGGCACTAAAAATACCTGAGGGGGGGTCTACGTTCCATCTCCCAGATGACAAAACAAAGTCATGCTTGGAGTCTCTATAACATTCCTCATCAGTGCTTCCAAACTCCAGCAGATCTTCCCCATGGCCATAGCTTATATGCAACCCACTCTCCATTAGAGCCTCCAATTTTGATATCTCCTTAACTTCCATCGCCCTTTTCGTAAGATTTATTTCTTCTTCTTCTACATCCTTTTGAGGGTTTTGGTTGAATTTGAAGTTACCCCCATAGGGAAAGCTAACTGATGGTGTTGGACCCCAACGTGGTAGCTTTGGTGTGGGAAAGCTTAGTTGCTCAAGCTCAATTAGCAGCTTTCTCTTCTTCTTTACATCAAACCCTCCTGTATTCCATGGTTGAAAGCCAGGGAAGCTGCAACAAGTTTTGAAAACATTGAAAAATTCCATCCCAAACTTTGTATTACTTTAGAACTTGTTTGAAGTTCTTTGTTAATGCTTTCATTACTTTGTTAATTTGAATCTTGAAAACTGAAGGAACCCTTAGAATTTGAAAACAACATCAGAGCGTCGAAAAATAAGCAAAAAAGAAAAGGAAAAAGCAGAGAGAACCACAAATTAGCCATTACAAAACCAGAATGGCTGAATCATAAAACAAAAACTCAACAAAACATACCCAAAAAGAAACAAAGAGAGTGAAGACTGGGTATAATCTTGGAAAAGAGTGTCTTCAAATTGCAGAAGCAAGTGCAGGCAAAGAAGGCATCCAGAAAGAAGATGAGATTAGAAAGTGTATGAAAGGCCAAAAGCCACTGACAACTAGATTCAAGATCTGTTTCCTTGTTGTTGTAGCAGCTTGTTCACAATCAGGCATGGCCGCCAAAACGAAGAAAGAGATAGAGAGAGAGAGAGAGAGAGAGGCGAACCTGTCAGTGCTAGAGTGAGATGGGTGGTGGCTCTCTTGCTCCATGGTTGGTCAAGACTCGAGACAGAGATGAAAACTGAAATCATAGAAAACCAAATCAGACCATCTGCTTTCTATAGATAAATAAGGAAGTGGAAGGCGGATTGAAGTTGGAAGAGTTTTGAGAATATTTTAATCCTAGTATTTTTATTTTGTATTTGTTTATGTATGTCGTATTTCTCTCTCTCGATTTGTGGGTTTGTTTTGTTTAGTATATCCTTCCGATGGCACCTGGCTTGGGCTAAGGAAGCCAGCGGCACGCCATTGAGTGTTGATGCTCGCCCCGATGCACCGCAACGGCGTCGTTTTGTACGGATACCACAGTCTCGATTGCAATGGCAGTGGCACGCCTTTCCCTGCCTTCTTCTGACGGCGCACGTGGACGCTGGACTAGTACATAATATGGCCTTCTTCATTCCCTCAATTTTTCAATTTAACTTCTTATATTTTAACATTACTAAATTTAGTCTAGATTAGCATGATATAATACTAACAGAAAAAAAAAAAGCCATGATATAATGCAAATTTTTTTTAAAATGGTCATTTAAGAGGAGAAAGTTTGATTCTCCCCCAAATTTACTAGTAATTCATACAAATTTTGAATTCTCTTTTCATATGTAGTTTTTTTCTCCTCTAATATTTAACTAATTTATTAAATATATTATTGACCAATTTTACCATTTCCTAACTAAATTAAATATAAGAGATTAAATTAAGTTTCTTTGAACAAATTAAAAAAATATTTAGACACTTCAACGTATCTTTACCCTAAAGTTTTCAATTACTTTCAAGTGTCACTTTACATAAATAATGTGTTGTTAATTAAATGATGGTAGATAAAATTACTATCACATAAAATACCGATATATTAAAACATCATGGATTGACTCATTGGTGAAATAAATCAAGGTAAATCAAAATAATTTAGAAAGAATAGGTTCAAACTTAATGATGGGCACCTTTCTATGAATTAATTTCCTATGTGTTTTTTTGTAATTAAATGTAGTAGCATCCGACTATTGTTTAGTAAAATTAGTCAATGAGTAAGTTGGCCCAAACACTTAAGAGTATTAAAAAAATAGTATATTTAGCCTATTATAAAAAATAAGATCACATGAGTATTGCTAAAACAAGTACAGATAAGTGGTAATTGACATATATTTCCAACTAAAAAGTTGTGAGTTTGATCGCCTCATGTAAAATCACATGTGTATTATACATATTTATTTTTAAGTTTGCATGTCAAAGTACCTTTTTTATTTATTTGTTCACTTAAAAAACCACCCATTTGTCTAATATGGATGTCACATCATCAGTTTATAACAATAGCTATATGAAAATATAATTTAAATATAATTATGGCTAATTTTAATGGGTTGAATTAAAAAATAATCTTGAGACGAGATAATATTTGGTTGATAATACTTTTTTTAGTAAAACATGTAGGGATGTGATATAGAACTTACAACCTATTTGTTGGAGATATATGTCAGTTACTGCTGACTTATACTCGTTTTGACATTTGGTTGACAATACTTAAACGTAGCTGAATATGATAATATTACTTATTTTTTTAGTTCAACAAGAGATGAGATTCAAAACTCTAACTTCTCAAATAAAATATACTTTTAAAACAATTGAAACATGTCTTGACATGTTATATATGTATTTCTCTCTCTTTTTCTTTTCGTTTTTAAACAAAAGTATTATTTACGTGATGGAATTAATAAGTTTTATGAAATGTTTCATCTTTTTTCAAAGAAAATGAAATGTTTTATCTCGATAACATACAATTAGATGCAGGGTGAATTTAGGGTGAAAAAAAAAAGAAAAGGATTTAAATTCATCCCTTCTCTAACCASTTTTAGAGGGAGTATTTTTTTAGTATTCTTAGAATTTTTAAAATTATATAAAAAAACCTAAAATATCAAATTAAATTTTAAAAGATCTATTATATAAATGTAAATTATATTAGATTAATGTATAAATTATACGAATATTCGTGGGTCGTTTTTTGAACATTATATAAATTTATAACATTCCTATGARAACATCTTTATATAGTTTTTTACGAAACAAACGTGAGTATTTGGAGATGTCGGACATCTAAAATTTCAGTAAGGACGTCTAAGATGCTAGGTTTGCTCCTAAGAAAATTTTGAAAAGTAATTTTAACAGGTTAACGTTACTTTTTTTTTTCAATTATTTTTCATATACCTTTTTAGTCATCCAAAATTTACATGCAGGTTTGAATGGAAGAAGCCTTGACTAAACCGTTACAGCATAGATCTTTCTGAAATGCAAAATCTGAACTTTTGAAACGATCCTTCCAGAACTTTCTAGAATTAGGTTTCTAAAATATATTTTTCTAAAATACAATAAACATAAAAATAGCTCAGGACTAAAGCATAAATATATATATATATATACATCAATWAATTTAGCTGTATACCTCAATTTAGTATTTTTGAAAGCATATTACCTTGTCTAAAAAGAAAAAAAAAAGCATATTAGGTGAATGTTTTTTTAATACAATAATTTGKAGATTTGAAAATATTACGTGAAGGTTAAAAATTTAAAACTAAATAGGAGCATAAATTAAATATTTCTATGTTTTAATAATTTTTTTCTTTTTCGAAACAAAAGTTCTAAAAATTAACACAATTTATTAAAAAGAAAAAAAAAACTAAGTCACGATGTAAAAAATATTTAAAGTAAATTCATAATTTGATACGGTAAGTTTTTCCGTATTATAAAAACAGAAAAAGAAAAAAAAAAAAAAAGAGAAGAAGAAAAGTCACAAAAGGCATATTTTGATGAATTAAGCCAAAAATTCCAGAACCGAAGGATCAAGAGGGTTCCGGAATCATCTGTYTGCCGCCATTCTTTTGCATAAATTGATCTTGCTGTTTCTGCAAATTGATTCTTAGAATTTGTGAGTTTCTTAATTCACTGGAAAACAATTCGAGCATCTTGGTTAGTTAGGGCTTGCTTCAATTAGTGGCGGCTATGGCGAAAGAAGGTCCCAACTGGGATGGGTTGCTCAAATGGAGTCTCGCTCACTCCGACGGGACTCAGCCTAATCGTAATCTGAGGTTCTTTCTCTGTTTCTTTCTGCTAGAATTGTAAAACAATCAAGAACTGAGATCTGTTACTCGCTTTTGATGTCTCATGTGCTGTTGTTGTTAATAGATTTGCCGGATTATTGCTATATGAGCTGTTGGCAAGCTGCGGCTTTTATAAATATTGTAGATGTTATTTTAAAAGATCGTTTTAGTTGAGAAGGGCGGTCTAATCATGCATCGATGTAACGCAAATATACCATTTTCTAAAGTCGCGTTGTAATATTTTACCATGTTAATCTTCACCTTGAATTGTGTAGCATGTGCATATTCTACAGAAGTTGTTGCTGATTTTGAAGATGTCAGCATAGGATTTTTATTATGTGTTGAGGCCCTGTTTTGGAAAATGTTTTTCCTGCGTAACTTATTAAAAATGGTGTTGTTCCTGCATAACTTTTTTCCAGTGATGAGGACCGGAGATGGTTTATGGAAGCAATGCAAGCCCAGAGTGTTGATGTTATCAAACGCATGAAAGAGATAACTCAAGTGATGCAGACTCCAGAGCAAGTCTTGGAATCTCAAGGAGTTAATCCAACAGATATTGAAGGTACTTTAAGTTTCACAGCTCTCCTTCACCCCAGCCAGGTCCCCATCAAGATATTGGCTAAATCATTTTGTTCTGTTTTCTGATCTTTGCAGATATGCTTGACGAGCTTCAAGAGCATGTTGAGTCGATTGACATGGCCAATGGTAAAATACTCTCTTTATTTCATTATATAAAATAATATTTCGGCAGATATAGATCGTTTTCTATGATGCTTAGCGTGGAAGCATGATATGTTTTCATTTGTAAAGGGAAAAGACACGTATTAGGATCTACAATTTGAACCCAATTGAGTATGGTATCTGTATTTTCTATGCGCTTTTGCAACATATAGTGATTGGTTGGTTGGTTAGTTTTTTTCTGTTTGTTGATAAAAAGAGTAAAAGGCAAAGAACCATGTATTCAAGAGGCAACAAAAAGAGAGGATACAACCTAAGGGCAGTAGGTGGACGACCCACACCCAAAAACTAAGGAATACAGCTTTCTAATCATTCACAATCATTTGGAGACTAAATTTGCAGAAGTATTTCTTTGTGGTTTGTCGTCCACCAAGAGCCTATATGCTGTACAGTTTCTGGATTATATTTGTTGTTTTTTGTGGTTTGACTACTCTCTATGCAATTTGAGCCCAATGTGGATTGTTGTTGTGAGTTACTTAGTTTTATATATCATGCACTAAGGGAGAAGTTGGTGCAGTTTCTGGCACACTCTCTTCCAACAATTGATATATTATTCTTGGGGTGCTTCTGCAAAGGGAGATTAGGACTTTACTAGCAACGGGTTTTGGGCTTATGGTATCACTTCTTTGAGTAGAAGTATTTCTCATCTTCTTCACATTAATTATTTTGCTGTTGACAGATCTTCACTCCATTGGTGGGCTGCTTCCCCTTCTTGGATACCTTAAGAATTCCCATGCAAATATTCGAGCCAAAGCTGCAGAAGTCGTGACCACTATTGTACAGAACAATCCACGTAGTCAACAACTGGTGATGGAATTGAATGGTTTAGAGTCTCTTCTCTTGAATTTTACTTCAGACTCTGATGTTACTGCACGAACCAAAGCCCTTGGTGCTATATCCTGTAAGTTCATAGATACCTCTTCCAGTCTACCTTTTTGCGATTTGTTTTTCTGTTTAGGTACATGGGCTTTTATGTACGTTACTTCTAAAAAAAAATAATGCTGACTGAAGTTCTGTTTTTGTTTTTGTTTTTCCTTTGGCTACTCTCTATGCAGCTTTAATCCGTCACAACAAACCTGGTATTGCTGCATTTCGTCTTGCAAATGGTTATGCGGGCCTGAGAGATGCTCTAGGCTCTGAGAATGTGAGATTTCAAAGGTAATTATGATAGAAGAATCTTAACAGATCACCTCCAACCACCTTTCCTTGTGACTGGAAAATCCCATTTGCTTTGGGGCTCGTTGAGACTGTTAGGATTAATATAATGATAATGTTCATTTACACTTCATAGCAATGAATTTTAGGTTTAAATTAAAATAGTAGTTCCCTTTGTTTGGGGTTAGTTTTTTTAATTGATTAAGTCTGTTTCTTTGTTAAACAACTACTCATGGAGGGAACCGTTGTGCAGGAAAGCCCTTAACTTGATCCATTACCTACTGCACGAAAATAATTCAGATTGTCACATAGTGAATGAGCTTGGATTTCCTCGAATTATGCTACACCTTGCATCCAGCGATGATGCTGATGTACGGGAAGCTGCTCTTCATGGCCTTCTCGAATTGGCCAAGGACAAAACAGGCGAGAATGGTGGAGGATTAGGCGAAGATGATGAGAAGTTAAGACAGATTCTCRAGGAGCGGATAAATGGAATCAGTTTACTCTCATCTGAAGATCTTGGGGCAGCTAGGGAAGAAAGGCAGCTTGTTGATTCACTCTGGAACGCCTGCTACAAAGAGCCATCATCCCTCCGTGAAAAGGGGCTTCTTGTTCTTCCTGGGGAGGATGCACCGCCTCCCGATGTTGCTAGTAAGCATTTCGAACCTCCTCTAAGAGCTTGGTCAGGAAGGCCCCCGGCTGATACAAGTCCTAAAGCTGAAAAGAAAGAAACTCCTTTATTGCTGGGATTAGGCCCTGCACCAGCTCCTGCACCTGAGGCTAGAGATGTTACTTCCAGTTCTGCAGCAAATACCAACGGAAAAGCGGATTCGAATTCATAACTTAGGCTGTATATTTACTAATTTCTACGCCTCTTTAATGATCTAGCCATTTATTTTCCTCTGTGACTACAATGTTGCCATGGTTGAACTTACACAACAACCAAGGCTATAGATGTCAAAAACATCAAACAGGTAGCAGCCTCACCACTCCTTCCTTTATAGTCTATGGTTGTATTGTAATCGACTGCCATTTTTGGGATGTTTATCACCAATTTCATTTACAATAGAATTCTATTTTTGTGATTCGTCGTTGGATTTAAAGTGAAAGGATCAAGAAATGTGGAACTTAAATTTTCTTCCATTTTTGATTTCCATTGGGTTGATATTGTTTCCCAAATTTTTATCTGATTGGATAGGTCACAGCAGAACGTAAAGGGAATTCAAAGAACACTACCCAATTAAAACCCACTGCTCCTAAACAAACTTCATTTAGAATAGAAAAAGTAGCAGAACTTTACAGTTGTAAACAAACGAAAATTCTCTCTTCCATTGAAAGAAGGATCTTCTCATTACAGTTTGACAAGCTAGGAGAAACAATAGCATAGCACTGAACTAAAAGTAGAAGAGCTATTGAAGGCTGAAAGGCATCTACTGAGGAGGGCAAAAAGTAATGACATAACGAGAAGCCCTGCATCTGTTAAGGCTTGAGGAATCATCATAAGCGTAGCTATAAGCCTTGGGGCATATGGCTTTAAACAAGTGAGCAAACAGAGTTGGCTTGCAAGTATTTGGATTTGCATAAGCTCCTGTGCAGCAATACTTGGCCGATTGCATAGCCAAGCAAGCACTCTTGCAACCCACCACCTTGCCCCCTCTCCTCACCTCCAGCGCCGATGGGCAGCAAATGTTCACATCAACCTCACAAGACGCCACCCCACACCCAACCCCTCCCCCGACCGGCTTCATCGACACAGGCAAGTTGAACCCGTCCACCAGACTCACATCGTAGAAATGGAGCGGCGATGTCGATGAGCCGAGCGTCATCTCCACCACCGTGGCTGGCGGCTCGCCCCCAACCCCTTGGCAATGTAGTAGCCCACCGCAGTCGCCAGTGTTGCACGAGCCTTTACCGTTGGAGTCGAAGTTGCAGCCTTGTCTTCCCCATATCCTCCCCGACCACTTGTCGGGCACGTCGATGACTACCTCCTGGCCGCTCCCGAGGAGGAATCCGCCGTCTTTGGGCGTGTTCTGCCCCGCGCTGCCGAGAATTCCCGGCCATATGCTCTCGTTGCAGTTGTTGACTATGATGATTTGTTCCCCATCTGCACAAAGAGAACAGAGAAAARAGATAAGTGTTAATGCTCATGGCATTTTAAAACTCTTCCACAACTTTACCATATCTAGAGAAAGAACACAAGATGAAGAGAGAACAGTACTTGTAATGAAGAAAGCGATTGATGAGGTGAGAAGAATGGAGAGGAGAAGTTGAAAAGTTGCCATGGCTTCCAAAAGCTTTGAGAGTGTTAGTTGGAAACTTGGATATATATGTAGGTAAAGAGAGAAGGAGAGAGATTTTCGGGGAGTGGGAGGAGGAAAATGGGGCTTATCGAACCACTATATATTTGAATTTGAGTTTCTGTGTCACTTTCACTTTCAGATAAAGGGAAATATTCATTTCTTCTCAATGGGGCTTTCTTTTCTCCAAAAAAAAATTTGCCTAATCTCCAATTCTCAGTTTCCAATTTGGTCAGTTGTTCCTTCCTGTTCGTGGTTTAGCCCACTAGTTTAGTTGGATGTGTCTCTCAGACACGTCCATTTCGAATCTTAAAACATGTTTTTTTTTCCTGTTCTTTGCTGTGTATATTCTTCTAGGTTGTCGTTCAAAGATCTAATTTTTTTCCCTTTTCTTTTTATAAAGATAAATTGAGACAAATAGATTACAACTCCGTATGGTTATTTATTTATTTATAAATAATAGTTTCATATCATTAATTTTTGTGGCGACAAGGGTGCATATAGAATTGATCCTAGGTAACACTCTTTTTGAGATTTTAGGAGTTTTTTCTTTTTTTTTTGGTAGTACAACATGTGGGGGTGGAGGTTCGAATTAACACCTCTATGTGTCAATTTCTACTGAATTAGGTTTACTTTGAAAAAATATTCAATTTGTAATTCTAAATACTTAGAATATGTTTGTGAAGACAAAATAAAAAATAACCTTAAAAATTGGTATGAGGTGGTTAGTTCTTTATTTTCATCATCCACTAGAATTGGGTACATAAAAGAACAAAATTAGAGTAAATGGTAAGCTTTTTGGATATAAACTGAAAGATTAACGTTCTTAGTTCTTACTTTGTGGGATTTTATGTTAAATTAAATTGGGGAGGGAGCATAATGGTTTTAATCTTTTTTGATTCTTCTCCAATAAGATTGCACGTAAAAGTTATTAATAACCAATGAAAAAGGAAAMACAAAAGAAAGAAAAAAAGAGACGGGAGAATAGAATAATTTRCCTATTTCAGAATCTCAAACAATTTTTTTCCCTTTTTTTTTTTAAATAAAGACACCAAAGAAAAATTATAAACCTTCTAATCCTCCTTCTTAGAACATTAACCAAAAAAAAAAAAATACATATTATTTATCTTTTCTCCTTCTTACTCTCTTCATTTTTAATTACGACAAATATGACCAAAGAACCAAGCAATTAGAGAAGAATTTGGAAATTAAGATTAATTTCTTTTTCCGTCSAAATATATATCTAACCATCTTCAAATAACAATTATCATTACTATTTTTTTCTTTATTTATTAAAATATATATCTCATGAAAACAATTATCATTACTAAATTTTTGTCCTCCAGTGCAATGTCAAGAACATAAGACCTTGTTGTATCACTATTACAAAGTCTTGTATTCGAGTTCTACGCTGGTCACAATGTTGTTCAGTTAACAAAAAACCCYGTTATAGAGATCTACTAACATAAGTCAGACGACATTGATTCCAAGGAATAAAAAAAACCTATTTTTTTCTTTCGATCGAAGAATAATTCAACTAGTTAAGATGTTATACATTTTTAAAGGCCAGACGTTGAAATCTCTATCTCAAATGTGTTTGAAMTCAAATAACAATTTATTTTTTTTTAAATGTGTGGATTCTAATAATGGTGTACATCAAAATAAGCATATTCGAGAGGAGTTGGAAAGATTGTGGCAAATGACATATAAAGTTATGATTTGGACTCTTTTTAAATCTTTTGAATAAGAAATGGTTTCAAAGGGAGTAATTGGAATATGGTGTGGTGGATGTGTACTTGTTGTTCAAGCATGGTACTTCTAAATAAAAAGCCATTTCTCAATTATTTTTCTCTCTATACGTATGTTTTTGTGTATTATGATATTTTTATCCTTTGTTTTAATATAAAACATTCTTGTGATGTAGTCTTTTTTTTTTTTATTACATTTCTACCACTTTAATGTTAAGAGAATTTATGTATACAACAACTTCATCAGAGCTAAAAGATTAGGATGTGTAGAAGAATTAACCACACATATATTCTTTTTATTTTTTCATTCTTAATGCATTTTGTTCGAAATTCATTTTCACTTAATAAACATAATCTCAATATTTTTAAATAAATAAAGAAAGATAGATGATTAAGGAAATTGAGAGTAAAGCTTCCAAATTAAGTTCATAACAATGACAAATTCTTTGTCATAGGAGTAAAATCTTGATAAAGAAAAAAAGAAAAAAATTGCATAAACAACACTTGGACTACAGTGATTGTTATAGTTATACCTACAAACTTTTGACGGTAAGAATTAAACATATAATTGTGAAATTGAGTTACTATATTAGATAATGGAGAAAAATATTTTTTCCCTCGATAAAATGTCTTTTAATTTTCTCTCTAGTGTAAAAATGCCTATATATATATTTTTGTACCACACATCTTATTTCTTAAATTAAAAAAAAAAGTCTTTTTTCTAACCACATCTTCCTCCAAAGAATTATATCTCTTTCTATTGTTAATACCGTCTTAAAAAACATCTCTTCTTCCTCTTACTACAAAGAAATCCTAGAAGTTAGAGTGTGATGAAGGGAGAAAAAAACAGTTTTTTAGATAGAGAAAGAGATATTTTAAAAATCTAATTAATTTCTTTTCAATAAAGAGTAAATGAAATGACTCAATTTTCACAATTATTAATTAAGGTTTGAAAACTTAGTTCTTAAAATGAAAAATTTGTAGGTGTTGTAACTATAACAATCACTGTTGTTAAGAGGTGGTTGGTGCAATTTGACCCAACAAAGAAAAAACGTGTAGAAATATGAATATTTATTGTCAATATTCAGAATTCTTCTGTTTCTCTCTTCACTTTAGCAGCTGCGTTCGTTCATCAACACCGAAGTGGGGCTTCGAGGGCAATGAGAGGATCGAGCTGCTTGCATAACCTCGCGACATTTCATCATTTCATCCTATAATTCAATTCCAATCACATCCAATTATATCAATCAATCAATATCCCATCCAAATACATAGACTAACAAAGCTTAATTTTCCAAAATAGAGTTGCCATCAAACAATATCTCAATATTTAATCGAAACGTTATTAACCAACAAGAGCACAGTTCAACTAATCAAGACATTAAGTTTAGCGTCGTTATTTACCTCTGGGTGTTGATTAAACATCCTCGTGATATACGAAAGACGTGTCTGTGAAGTGATTGGAGGGAGGAAATAATCTGGGCAGCACCAAACTGCAGAGACAGCCAGTAGACTTGGTCTGAAATCCACGAGGTTATAGTCTAAGACAGCTCCAAGAAGCAATTGTGTGATGTTTGGCATCAAAAACTTGCCTCCAACCTCAGCTTCCAATTCCATGGATTCCAAGAGTTGTATGTAAGAATAAGGTGTTGGAGAACACAAACGCCATTCTAATACCTTTAGTAATATCATCTCCATTCTTTCAATTGAGCTTCCATCAAACACATGATCCATCTCCTCCATCTTTTCCATCGACACAATAAATATCGATACGTTATAAAGTAATTATTTAGAGCCTTGAAAAGCTGGAGAACTAATATGAATATATTCTTTGATAATGCACTTTTGATAATCATTTTAGTTTTAATTTTTCGTTTTTGAAAATTAAGCCTAAAAACCATACTTATAGAAATTTTTAAAATCTAACTCAAGTTTTGATAACCAAAAAAAATAGTTTCTTGACAACTTGTGCTTTTTTTTTTTTCAAACGTACCTAAATTGCGAAAAAACATGTCCAATTTTTAAAATGGGCCAAACATTTGTTTTTCTTTTTCTTTTTTCTCATCTTTAATAAACATTTTTGAAATTGTCTAAAAATTTTAGAAACAACAATTCATTTATTGTAACATATTTTTGCTTCTAGTGAAGCATTTTCTTAAAAAAAAAGTTTTCTTGTAAATTGGACAACAAATATGAAACAAAATTAAATATAACATTATAATTTGAATATTCTGTTTTAAAAAATTAATTTTCGAGTAACTTTGATTCTGTTTTTAAAGATTTGATAGAATAATCACCGAATATATTTCTATTTTTCTTTCGAAGGAAAAAAAATAAAAAAAAATACAAAATAATATTTAAAAATACATTTATATCTTAACAATTCTGATTGTTCTGTAATCTTTGTTTTCAAAACATATTTGAAGCTAAATTTCACTCAAAGTTTTACAAAAACCCGTGTTACCTGAATTTCAGTCAAAGTTGGAGGATAGCTCTCATGGAACTTGCAAGCTACGGACAAGCATGCAACAGCCAATAATTCTACCATCCAATTCTTCCATTCCTGCCATTCATTTCAATTACATATATTCTTCTTTGTAAAGAAAAATCTGTATTTGCAGCAAACCCATCAACACAAATTGAAGAAATATGCTTACTTTGCATCTGTTCTTAGATATGAAGCGATCAAGGTAATTTGCAGCAAGAAAAACAGTGCCATGGGAGAGACTCCATCGTATTCTACACTGAAAAAATAACCAAAATGTTAGAATTGAAATTAAAATGAAAACTTAAAAATCTCCCACAAAAAAAAAGAAAAGAAAAGAAAAAGTTTTGACCTTGATAAGCCATTGAATGCATCTCAGCCTCACAAAAACCAGATTTTTACTTTCCAAAAACTCCTTATAATGAGATTCAGGCATGTAACTCATCTCCTTCTCCAAGCAAACCGAGACGGCCTGCTCATTGTCTTCGTCGTTTGCAGTTACACAAACTGAACTCATGAGACTTTCGGCCGAACCACCATGCTTCTTCTCATGGTGGAGGCCAATGTGAGCCTCAGCTGGGCTTGAAAGCCAATCCTCATCACAAAGCAAAGCTTCCATAGGAAAGAGAGAAAAACACTCCGATGCAACCCAACCGCGATTTCAACTAAGGCTTCTAACTCATAAATAGAGAGCGATGCAACCCAACCGCGATTTCAACTAAGGCTTCTAACTTATAAATAGAGAGCGAAAAAGAATTACACGTAACATGTAAGACATTTAACGTCTCGTTTGATAACGTGTTTTGTTATTTCAAGAAAAATATAAGGCGAATCTTGAGCATGAAGGTTGAGAGAGAGAGAGAATATTAAGAAGGAGAAGGCATCTCCCACATGAAATGGGTAAATGAGAAGAGAAGGGTATTTGTAATTAGTATGGGATTTTTTTGTGTGAGAGCACGAGGGATATGCTGATTGGCGTTGGGCCAAAAGAAACCCTAAAAACTTGACGTAATGAAGCTCTGTGAAAAGCACTTTCAGCCTCAGAAATGAGAACTGTTCAAGTACTCAATTGACAGCTCCAACTGGGGGCCCTTGTCGTGACAATCCATTTATTGCCCAACTGAAATAGATTACTGCTTTCCCAAAAAGCACATATTTTTGCTTCAGTCATTTTCAAAACATTGAAAATGTATTAGATGAACAAATTTGACTTCAATTCACTAACTTTAACTTTTGTTGGTTGATCTAAAGCAATTCTCGTTTTAAACATAAAAGAGCAGAGAGTTATTCTGTTCATCTGTTGAAATATCTCAACTGCCAAGGCAAATGGTAATTGTAAATTGTGGCTGAAGAGAGATTCCACTTGAACAGTGGTTATGCATGAGAGTCATTATTTGAGAGTAGGTGCAGTGTGACCCAACAGTTATTCATAAATGGTTGTTCGTTTTTGCAATTTGTCATTATTGTTCCCACAGATCCAATCTTCAAAAGTTCTTACTGAATATGGTAGCAACAAAAAGGAAATCCCAATCCCAATACATACATTCAGAGAGGCACAGGGAACAAAGTTCTAAATGCAGTGGGAAACAACTTGAGTTCCAGTAAATTACAAAATGGGAAAGGGTTAAGATCAACTTTAGATACAACTGCTGTGGCTTGCGTCTTCAATCCTGTAACTTTGGGGAACCAGAATTTTCATAAACAAAACTAGGTACACGGGGGCCTTTCCCATTAAATTTCTCTGTAGATCTCCAAGTGTTGAAGCAAAATCTCGATATCGCACCTTAACTTTGAGAGGTAACCATGGAAATTCACATATAGCTAAAAGTGAAACCAACCTTAATGGAATACCGAATTTTCCATTTAGGTCATCGCAACTCGTACGATGAGAAGCTGAAACCCGATCTTCCCTCATTTGTGGATTTGAGCTCAAGCTTCTGAAATGGGCTGCAGATTTCACGTACTAATTAATAATGAAAGACAAAACTAGTTGTCATATTTATAAATTTGTTACACGGAAAAATAATTTTCAAATATGACAAATTCTTCTATCGTAAATCACCAATATACAATTTTCATATCACTGATATACCCTTCTTGTGTCATTGATATACCTAATATAAAGCTAAATTTGTATCATTTTTAGTAAATATTTTATCATCCAACAAATCTGATATTATTTAGGCCAACTTTATAATTATCATAAAAGCCACATTGTCAATCACTCTGCCAAAACAGAGGAAAGTTGTATTAAATATGCACTTACAAAAAGGACTCATACCTACTATTAGGGTCATAGTAGAAGCCGCTGATGGAACCATCACTACAAGAGAAGCAAACATAATAGAAGCCAGCTATGGTTAACCCACAATCGGTTCCAACATTCACGAAATATTGCTCTTTCCATCTCTGCACAACAATACAAAGAAACCATGGTTCTTACTGTTGAGATAATTATACTTTTAGTAAGTAAATGGCAACCGCAAGAGGCCAGAATACCATAAATATGCATGGATAATTACTAAGATCCAAAGATTTTCCACCATCAACTTCCACCTGGCTCTGAAACAAATATTTAAAAAAGGTAATTCTATATGGGTATAAAAGACTAAAAATACTAAATGAAGGGGATTTACTGACTATGGGGTCCTCACCATCAGGGGCGAAAATGACGGAAATTTGGTCCAGTGCCTTATATCATCTTCTGGTCTGTGATATGGTAAAAAATCTTAAGCAAAGAGGTTTAAATTTTCACGTTCCTATTCATATCGAAGTCCATATCAGCAATAAGTTTCTTTTTTAACACTACGATTCAAACAAGCTTGGTGATTCTTGTTAATTTATACATTTAATTACATACGCTGCTTGCCATTTTCCAGTGAAGAAATTATAATTCTTGCCATCCACAATCTCTCCTTCCCAAAAGGTTACTACCTGCCACAATCAGAAAAGCCAAATAGAATTTTGAATGAAGCTATAATAATACCAGTCCAAATTGAGTACATTCCAGCACCAAGTTTGTAAAGTCATGTATTTAAGCAAGTGTAGTTTTTCAAATAGAATAGAACCCAGTAAAGAAAGGAATCGTGTATTGTTAGACATGTTTAATTTATATTGAAGTAATTATAATTCAAATATTGCTACTAGAAGGATAAATGAGATGCTTAACCATTACAATGCCAGCTCTTTTTTTATAACTGTTTGTCCCAATCTCTCCCATTTTACTCAAAAGGTGACATCTTCAACTTGCACGGTTGCACTGATTCACTCTATCGTATTATTGAACTAAACAGAAATCTGACCTCTAAAGGATGTCTTCGATCTCCTTGTGTAAGCATTGCCATGAAAGGAAAAGCCTCAATTCTATGGTCTACTGCTCTGAGGGCCATTCTTAAGCTTTGGTTGGAGAGGAACTAGAGAACATTTGAAGGCTCCTCTTTAGATTTTTATTGAATTTTGTGGCTTTGTTTAAATTTCTTTAGTTCCTTTGGTGTACTCTTCTTAAGGAAATAAAAAATGCTGAAGAAGAGACAAAAGTCTAATACCTCACAACTCTCGTGCTATTTCCTACTTCCCTCCCTCCTAATATTCCTCCATAACACCAACTAGAGCCAATCAACGCAAGATTTTAAAAATGAACCGGCATATGTATGATTTTATATTATTTATAATTGAAATGAATATGAAGAATATTGTAAATGATATTGTTCACCAAGGCACGGAATACAAATAAATATTTGTAAGACTTGCAATAAACGTGCAGAGAAAGGAATGGTGATCGGGCTCACAGAAGTAGGAGAGGAGGAATGTCATTCTCCACACATGAAAAAATTCAATTAATGAGAATGAAAATAAGGGAGCAACATTTTTGTTGGGCAAGAAACAATGACGTTTTCCTTTTCTTTTGAGGTACAGTAGTTAAGAATCATTCTTTAGTTCCCACTCAACTTAATGGGAATAGGAACAAGGAAGATTACTCTGTCTCCGAATAAGTAAACATAACCATAGTCAAACCATTCATTTCAAACAGTTTTTTAGCTACTGGGAATTCTGTATTGTTTTTGTTGATTCAAATGAATCATGTGTTATAACTTGTGAACTGCAATTTTGGTCAACCTTGCCAGCACCTACCGAGCTGTAGAGCAATTCTCAAAAGTAATTTCATTCTTAAAATAGGAATGGCAATAAATGATGCAATGCATTGCAGAATATCCATTATCAACATGTGCAGCGCATTCTTAAGCCAAAGTCAAAAAGGAAAATACTCTCATTTGAATAAGTTAAAGGTGCATCAACCACTAATAACAATGCAATGAGATAGAAGGGGTTTACAAAAGAATATGAACGCAATTAAAACAAGCAGGTTGTAATTCCTGCTGAACCAAAGAAATATAGAGGTGATTACTCAACATGATAGAATCATAGAAAAAACCTTACCACTGACATCAATTTTCAACGGATCACGGAAATGAAAAAGACATAGTAGAATCATAACCGTAGAATACAAACACTATACTAAAATAATCGATCGGCTTATATAAGTTATAAATAGTTGTTAAACAAGAAAGATATGCAAGCCTAATACTAGAGAGATTCACACATCATGCTCCATAGTCGTGTATAAAAGTAATTAAGAAGAGTTCTATTTAGCTCAATGTTAAGCATCACAAACAAATTAGTGGTTACACCCAGTCCTCACGGGAATCAAACAAAGAGTTTACCGGTGTATCCGCCATGGGAACATTAAGAGCCTCCATCGTGCCACAGAGATACCCATGTTCAAGGTCCAACCCCTGTATTCGTACATTCACCCTCCATGCCTCATCCTTTTGATTATTAGACACGTTCTGAGTACCGGAAAACGCCTGACACAAAAAATTATGAGGTCACTTGGACATAATTTCAACTATTAAACCCAAATTAAAACAGCATGAGTGTTGAATCAACAAAAAATTGGAGAATATAAACCTGCCCCACACTCAACAGCGTACAAGCTTGAGGAGAGGTCTGCCTAGCATCAGCACCTGCCAGGAAAAATCTGGATGAGAAAAACCCATTTCAAAAAGCAACTTAACTGGGGAAAACAATTTCACAGTGATGCTGCAGTAATCTGGAAAGCTTCAACGGAATCGAAAATGAAGCTATTCAAATAATAAGTTAATCCACTAACCGGGGAACCCGAAGAAGAAGAGAGAAATAGATTTTGCCTCAAGTTTGTGGGGTAATTGATACACATTGACCCATGAATGCATTCGCAGAAGAAAAAACCCTATTTTCAGACTGGAAATAAAGGAGAAGGATCGATAAGAAGAGGAATTACTTGAAATCGGAGAAGGCGCTGAGCTCTCTACTCGGACCGGCATCTCTTTCCCGCTAAATTTCCGGCGATCGCAATTTGCGAGAAGTTTAATGGTAAATGTAAAACTAAGCAGCAAGGAACTAGCTTTTCGGGTGGCCGGAGGGACCAAACGCCAAACCAATGAGACTCTAAAGTCGAAAAGTAACCTCCGATTTTTGTTATTAGAAATATGATAACAGTTTCATTTCATTTAGAAGATTTTGGAAAATTGACATTTTTACCCCATAAGTTTCTGGGACTAGATTTTTACTCTTTTTCAAATTTAATTTAATTTATTATTATTATTATTATTTATTCTTCAATATATTTTCTTCCCAGAGATTGTCTTCCTCCCTTGAAGTAGCCCTCTATGCCAATGTGGTTCCGGTTGAATTGATTTTAATCATTCCTACAATAGCCTTTGTTTAAAGGATTTGATTCTCTATCTTGTTTGTGAAGTTGGTTTCCACATTATTGAACCAATTGACTCTCGAACAACTCAACTCAAACCGAAGAAAATTAGAGAGAATTAATAGAAATTCAATATCGATATTGTGTTGAATGAATGAATTCAAACATAATTCAACCAGGGTTCAAAATGTCGAGAGACATGTCGACATGTCGTTGGACATGTCGACATGTCGAGCATGTCGACATCGACATAGGGGAGAAAAGTCAATTTTCCCCCTATGTCGTCGACATGTCGAAATGTCGACTGAAATGTCGACATATCTTTTTTTTCTTTTTCTTCTTTAAGGTTATTTTATTTTCATTATCTTCTTACTATGCCAGTCTGTTCAATGAAAAATTCGGATTTTAATATCGTATAAAGTATAACTAATAAGATTTGAAATTTGCTTTATTGATAATTTCTAATTCAATATAGTCCTTACTTATACAATTGAACAATATATGTAAAATATTGACATATATAAAGCTTGAAATAATCTTAGAATTTTTAAAAAATAAAATATTATTATATACAAATAGTGGTGAAACATTAAGTAGAATAGGTAACTTAATTAATACAAAAAGATGACCTCAGAGGATCTAGTGCACTATCTTGATAATTTTGATATAAATTACAATAGTTCTCACCGGTCATTAGACTGAAAGTTTTGAAGGTAGTTGCTCAAATGAGTAGAATATGAAGCACATATGGATCTCATTGGTAGATAATTTGGAAAAATGACACAATCACGAGGTTGAGGTGTTTAAAAATTGTGTAAATTTGATTGGAAAGTTGGATTGATGATTGATTTGAAAATGTGTTTGAAAAATGAGTAAATTCAAATTTGAAAAGAGAAGTAGGTAAAAAGTGGTAATGATCTCATTTCCAAATGAATCATAGTATGAAAAACACTAGTCAAAAGTTTACAATTAAAGTTTACTTTACATATTTAAATAATTTCCATCAATCTTCATTAAAGAAAAAATCTTTTTTCGATATTTCCATCGTCATGGACATTTTCACAATTAAAATGGTCATATTATTACATTAGGTTAAACGTGATCAATTATAGACTAGTTAAGCTACCATTAAGTTTTATTTGCTAATTCAAAAAATTTCCATCAATTTCCACAATTTCCATTATTTTTTCCGAAATATACATTGATATATCCATCGACATATTTGTAAAATCGGGACCTCGACATTTTCATCGACATCGACATTTTGAACACTAAGTTCAACTAATTAAGATAAGACGTTTAAACAAGCGATAAAATTAAAAATATGTAATTATAAATATAGTAGGATCGTTTCAAAATTTTACATGGCATAATTTGATTTGAATTCAATAAAGAAAAGCCATCAAAACAAAGTCAAGATTAAAGCATCAAACATTTGACATTTTATCAAAGAAATAAAAAGCACCGACATTTTTTCAAATACGTATAATATTTTTTATCATGTAACGTTCCCAAAAGGAAAGTTTAATTAAAAAAAAAAAAGACGCAAACGTAAAATTCATAAAATAAGAAGTATCATTTAAAAAATGTTCTTTATTTTGTTGGTGTAGAAAAAATATTATAGTATAGACAATAGAATATAATCGTAAAATGTGACATAAATATTTACATTAATGATGATCACATCACATCATCTTACATCATACATGGATCATCATCATCATCTTCTTCCAAAAATCAGCGCCCTTCCGACAGAATAGACTCCGTAA